ATGCTTGGGTCACACGTGTGCTGTTTGTGGACTGGGTCAATCTTGCTTTTGGCCCTGCTGTCAAGCAGTACCTGCTGGACAACGACCTGCCGCTGAAGGCTTTGCTTCTGATGGACAATGCTCCTGCTCATCCTAAAGGCCTTGAGGTGGACTTGCTGGAGGAGTTCAGCTTCATCAGAATCATGTTCCTGCCGCCTAACACCACGCCACTGCTCCAGCCGATGGATCAGCAGGTCATCGCCAATTTCAAAAAACTCTACACCAAGGAGCTTTTCTGGCAATGCTTCGAGGTGACTGATTGCACCACCATCACCCTGCGGGAATTCTGGAAGGACCACTTTGACATCATCACCTGCTTGAAGATGATCACCATGGCCTGGAACGGGATCAGCCAGAGAAATTTGAATTGCGCTTGGCGCAGCCTGTGGCCGGACTGTGTGGCACCAAGTGACTCTGATGCACCAGAGTCAACAGTGGTGCAGGACATTGTTGCCTTGGGGAGGACCATGGGCCTGGAGGTCACAGAGGAGGACGTCAGCGAGCTAGTGGAGGAGCACGACCACGAGCTGACCACCCAGGAGCTGGTCGAACTGCAGGCAGAGGTTGCGCAGGAGCAGGCCTCGCTGGAAGAGGAGGAAGCAACTGGGGAACGGCTGTCCTCCAAAGAACTGAGGGACATTTGCCAGAAGTGGAAGGAGGTGCAGGCTTTTGCACAGTGGCACCACCCTAACAAGCACGTGGCACATGACCAGGCGAACACTTTTGATGCGACGGTCATGTTGGCTTTCAGGGAGCTGCTGAAAAGGCGGATGAAGCAGCAGACCATGGACAGGTTCCTCAGCAAGAAGCAAAGAGTGGAAGAGGAGCCTTATTCGAGTGGTCCCCCAGAGTCTTAGAAAATGTATGTGCTGTGCACTTTGTTGATTTTTAAATGTTTTTCTGTCATGTTTAGAAACTTAATTTATTGTTCCTTAAATTTTTGAAATTCTCTTTACAGTATGTGTGACTTTAAAGAGCACTTAATAAACTGTTGTTGTACCAAATTTGGCTTTGTTTGGACTTTTTTTGACCATAGGAACGCATTAATTGATTTTCAATGCATTCCTATGGAAAACCGTGCTTTGCAAGATGAAAAATTCGCTAGACGAAAAAACTCGCGGAACGAATTAATTTCGTCTTGCGAGGCACCACTGTAGTGATGTATGGAAGTGAGAGCTGGACCATAAAGAAGGCTGATCACTGAAGAATTGATGCTTTTGAATTCTGGTGCTGGAGGAGACTCTTGAGAGTCCCATGGACTACAAGAAGATCAAGCCTCTCCTTTCTTAAGGAAATCAGCCCTGAGTGCTCACTGGAAGGACAGATCCTGAAGCTGAGACTCCAATACTTTGGCCACCTCATGAGAAGAGGAGACTCCCTGGAGAAGACACTGATGCTGGGAAAGATGGAGGGCACAAGGAGAAGGGGACGACAGAGGACAAGATGGTTGGACAGTGTTCTCGAAGCTACCAGCATGAGTTTGACCAAACTGCGGAAGGCAGTGGAAGACAGAAGTGCCTGGCATGCTCTGGTCCATGGGGTCATGAAGAGTTGGACATGACTAAACGACTAAACACCAACAGTCTCCAACAGCTTTTGTTGACATCATGTCAGTTGGGGCGCCTTTTCACTTTGGCCCAATTGTCTGAAATCAAAGGAGATCCACAGCAAACATGGTTGTTGACTGAGGCTTTCTCAAGAATGGAGTCCCAATAAAATCCAGCATCCTGCCTCCCCTTTCCTGGCAAAGTATTCCGTCTACTTATTACTCCGTCTAAGACCAAAGCAGGCATTTAAAGATGTCTGTGGGTTCACGTGACACCCTCCAACTTCATCAGAGGTTTTAAGGGGAATGCTAGCCCCCAACTGTCCCTCCATATCTCCATTTAAGTCCCCCAGGGCTCCAGAGAGCCCAGGGGAATGACTTTCTGTGCTTGCTACCTAATGAATTGTCAGTTATTTCTAAAACAGTAACTTATGCACACAATCTTGCTCTAACCAACCTGTCTGAGATCCAGGTTTTATAAATGACTGAAGATTTACCTATGAAGCTGGAGGAACAATCAGAAAGGGATAGGAGGCAAAGATTTTGGTCTACGAGGCCTACCGGAGAATCAGGAAGAGGGGGACATGGTTCAATGCATTATTGACTGGCTATTCTCCCTGAATTTTAACATGCCACTGTCCTCCAATGACACAGAAAGAGGACATGGGGGAGGCAGAAGCAGAACTATGCTAATTTGCTTTGAACACTATAGACTCAAAGGCTCAATTTTCAGAGCACTACAGAATGTTAGAAACCTAAAATATGGTGAAGCTACCACTGAAATATTCCAGGATATCAGCCTGGCCACAGCTCTCCACCCTTACACATCAGCACTAAAAGAAGTGGGCACAGTATATCGACAGGGCTTCCTTTTAAAGTTGATAGTCCAGCACAAAGGCAAAACACGGCTTGTGGGTGAACCAGCAGCCTGACAACATGCTGAAAGAGCTCCAGTCCCTGGCACTCCCCCCCAGCACCTCTCCTCAGCTCAAGTCTGCAATAGCACCGTCTCAGGCTGGACAATCAAGAAATGCAGAAAGAAGGAAGGCAACTCCAAGGACAAAGTAAGAAATTTGTTTTGTTTTATTTCCTTATGTGTGAAAAGGATCTGGACTCTGCTCTAACAAGTGCAACAGTAAATGGTAAGAGCCCTTGTCCCAGGCTGGGAAGAGAAGATGTGAAGATTAGCAAGAAGCCCCTGCCTGTTCCGCATTGATCCTCGGTACCAAGGGAAGGATCGCCACCACTCCTATGTTCCTGATGGCATGCAGGAAAGCCACCTGAAGATTTGTGTACATAGCTTTCAGTTTATGTCGTTTGATTTTCAAGTTAGAAGTGATGTATATGATATTTACCTCTTGTTTTGATGTATTCCTTTTTTATGTGGTAGACCAGTATTGTTTGTTATTGGTTCTGTTTTGTTTACTCATGGATGTAATGCTATGAAAACTCAATAAAAACTGACATGATTGCCTCAAAGCTAATCCAAGTACAGTTGTACCTTGGTTTTGGAACAGCTTAGTTCCCGAACGTTTTGGCTCCCGAATGCCGCAAACCCGGAAATGACTGTTCTGGTTTGCGAACTATTTTTGGAAGCCGAACATCCGATGGGGCTTCTGATTGGCTGCAGCTGCTTCCTGCAGCCAATCAAAGCTGTGCTTTGGTTTCCGAACGTTTTGGAAATCAAACAGACTTCCCGAATGGTTTCTGTTTGACTTCCAAGGTACGACTGTAAGACAGAATTGTGAAGGCTGCAAATGTTAAAGATTTGCAGTTTACATTTCACATATTTTTTCCCCTTCCCCTAAAGTAGCAATGAATGGGGAAAAAAATCTGACAACTCAAAGTATAACAAATATAGCATACACAGGTAACAAAACTATATGGCAAGAATATACACCCCATAAATATAAGTGCAGTATCATGAGGTTATTCAGTTCTGATTCTATTTGCACAGATAATAATTTCTAGAAATAAGTTACTTCGAACACTAAGCGTGCAATACTATATACATTTACTCTACTGGGTTCATCCAACTTAGGATGGAAAATGCTCAAGCATATCTCAGTGTTTGTACTGATATTTTAAGGCAGGGGTCTGCAACCTTTAAGACAAAAAGAGCCACTTGGACCCGTTTCCGAAGAAAAAAAACCTGGAAGCCGCAAAACCATTGCGACATTTAAAACAAATATATCTCCGGAGCCGCGATCTGACAGCGGGCGGGAAGGCGACGTCGGGACGGTGCGTGACTAACGCCCCCCCGCCCCATGCGACGTCACAGCCAGTATAGCACCCGCCACAGTGGGGAGTGTTGGGGCGCACAATGCGCCTCCTCCCCTCGCTAGTATCCGCCCCAGAGCCGCAGCAAAGGTGTAAAAGAGCCACGGGTTGCAGACCCCTGTTTTAAGGTTAAAAATCAGTTTTAAGGTTAAAAACCAGTTTCTGTGATGTCTTATTTCAGTAAAACATGGTAATTTAAATTACCATTTCCAGCGGGGTAGTTATGTTAGTCTGTTGCAGCAAAACATAACAAAGAGTATTGTGACATTATAATGACTAACAAATTTACTATGCCACAAGCTTTTGGGGACCAGAGCCTGTTGGGAGTGTTGTGGGTATCAAGGAGTTAACACTGTGTGAAGTGGAAATGCTGACTCAGGCGGTATGAGTCAGCATCATGAGTGGTGGGGCATTGCCTAACTGATCTATAGCCAGTTAGGATAAATACAGTGGTATATTGGTTCCCAAACTTAATCTGTTCTGGAAGTCTGTTCTAAAACCAAAGCATTCTAAAACCAAGGCACGCTTTCCCATAGAAAGTAACGCAAAATGGATTTCCAGACTTTTAAAAACACACACCCCTAAAACAGCAATTTAACATGAATTTCACTATTTAACAAGACCATTTCTGGGTTAGGGTTAATTTTAGGATTGGGTTGGTGTTAGGGTAAGGATTAGAATTAGGGTTAGGGTCAGTGTTGTTTTATGTTTTCTTGTGATTTTGATTCACTTGTGGTTGGTTTGTTTTTTTCAGTTTGTGGTGTTGCTGCTTTTTCATTTCAACTATTCCGCCTGGCTGCTTTCAGGTGGTGCATGGGCTCTGATGCTGAGGTGGGGGCTCCTTTAAACTTTTCCCCTCAAAGGAGAAGTTTAAAGGAGCCCCCAGCCAAGAACCCCTCACTGGAAAGTGTGACGGAGCCTGCACCTCCCCATCTGAGCAGTCCGATCCAGCTTCTACTGGATCTCTCAGCTGGGAAATGGAGGCTTTGTGCTCCCCAGCTGAGCTACCCCATCCAGCTCCTACTCCCATGCAAGCAGGAGTGAGGGCACTCAAAACTGAAGTGTGGCACTGAAAAAGAAAGTGTAACACTCAAAACGGAACAGTTTGGATTCCGAAAAAAGTTCGCAAACCGGAACACCTACTTCCGGGTTTGCAGCATTCAATTTCCAAGTTGTTCATGAACTAAGCTGTTCGAAAACCGAGGTACCACTGTAGGTATGGCTGACTCCCCCTGTTGGCTTCTCCCGTGTATGTGATCCCTCCTGTGTATGATGATTCCTGGATGTAAGAAGATTGCTTTATGATGATGCAAGACTGCAACTTGAAGAAAGTCTACTTGAAATACAGCTTGACTCCTGAGTGCTTCATGGGGTACTTTCCGTCAGTCTGAATAGTAATAATAATTTAACAATAATTTTAGGCCACTCTGGGTGGCTTCCAGTACATATAAAAACATAATAAAACTACCAGGGACAGGGCTGCCCTCAGATGTCTTCGCAACAGAGCCCACTTCATCAGATGCAAAGCCTCTTTATACATTTGATGAAGTGAACACTAATCATGGAAGCTTATAACATAATAAATTAGTCTGCAAGGTGCCAAAACTCATGGTTCCCGCCCCTCCCCAGCAAGTTAGGCCACGGTTCTGCTCCCTGTGTACAGACAAGAAAGAGGCTCTATATACTGATGCATATACCCCTGCCATTTAATCCTTCATCACCGTCATCATCATCTTGCTGAGAAAATTAACTGATACACTCCTCTCCATCCTCCTACCCATGTTGGGCCACTACTCCTACTCTTATGAGCACCGTGTGTGCTGGGGTGCTTCTCATAAATAGCTCCACATGCTGCAGTGCACCTGATGTGAGGCTGGCATGAAAGGGGAGGGTTAGGGTTCCATGTGGAGTCTCTCTGCACTTTATTCTCCATACACAAATGGAGTTTTAGGCAGTTCCACCAAATCTACTGAACACTGGTGTGAAGGAACACAGTGTTAATAAATAGATTCCCAAAAACTTTGTGGCATTATCATTAATGGAAATGGCTGTCTAATGAATTGTAAACATTATGTGTACATTTATTTAGCAGCCTTTAAATTTCTCACTTTTGGAAATATATAGCAAGGTGCATAAACTGTCAAGTGAAACCTTTATCTATTTTTACCTGAGAATTTCCTTTGGAATATTAGGTGGCGAAGAATGGCTCTTTTCTTCCAATACCTCTGAAGACTTCTCCCTCTCGTCTCTTTCGGATACCACAACTTCAACTGCTGGCTCTACTTTAGTCTTGTTTCGATCAGATTTTGCCTCCATCTTTGCTTGTTCACATTTAAACATAAACACAATTGAGGGTTTCTCACTTGAATCTGATTTGGACTCACTGAACCAATTATGCCGTTGAACAGGAGGAGGTGGAAGCATATGAATGACAGTTCCATCAAGACCCACCAGTTTCCCCTTTTCTCTTTCTCTCTCTTCCTCATCATCGGTCTTTCTGCGACGAAAGAAGCTCTTAAATGATATCCAACGCTTGGGCTTTGCATCAACAGCTCGTCTACCTTCGGAATGCAATACTGATTCAGCCTCTGTTGATCTTATGGGGCTCGTGGGTTTGGTCCAATTGCTGAAATGTCTTTGCAACACTTTGCTGGCATGATATGGTGAAGACGTGGAACGAGGAGGAGGAAATGGGGGAGTCTGTTCAGTTTTGGGATTTGTGGTATTCTGGGAGGCAGCCACTGGCTTTGAGGAATAGGCAACTAGTGACTTGGACAGGGTTTCCTTAGGCCCCATTTCTGTGGAATTTCCTGCTTCACTCTCAGGACTCGACTGTGTGGTAAAGAGAGATTTGGGCCGCACTGGGACACTTTCACCTGTGTCTGCATCAGGAGGCAGAGAATACAATTCTTCCGCACTGCAAGACTTGGGTCCAGTCTGAGGTACTTCTGGGGGAGACTGTGGAGGCTGGATAGAAGCCACAATTTGTGATAGTACTGTACAGGCATTTTCCCTACTTCCACTACATATCTCCTGTGTCTCTTCTGTTTTGGCCACAGGATCATGAAGAGTTCTTGGTATTTTTGTTGGGGAGCTGTGATCAGAGCTTTTGGATGAAGTCAGACCTTTGCCAAGACAGCTGTTGAACTCCTGAACCTTCTGAGCCACAGAGCCCAGTCTTCTCTCAGAGCTATTAGTTAACCCTTTAGCCTGGGAGAGTTCAGTAGATTTGCTAGTTATGTTTTTCAGAGCGGCATTTTCTGTTTCTATTTCTTCATATGTGTGGCTGATGACACTTGTGGTTTTATCTTTTACAGAGAGCTCTCCACTAGTCCCTAGAAAACTTTTATAGATTGCTAAATTGTCATATGCATTGGGATTGATTACAATAGGAACTTTGATTGCATTCTTACAACTTCTAGCATACGTTGGCTCATCATGAATAATGATTGGGAAGGGTGGCATGCCAGCATTATTGTAACTATTGAATTTTATTTCAGACAGGTTAGGAGATTTAACAGGAATTGTTTTTGTAGAAATATTGGTTGATGTAGGTGAAGCAGGAGCAGATTTGTGAATGTTCTTCCTCAAAGGTACAGAAGGTCCTGGTGTGTTGGGAATTAGTTCCACTTTAGGAATCTTTTGCCGTGGGCTTGTACTGGAAGTCCAAACTTCCTGGTATCTGACTGCACTAGATTTTTTAAGATTGGTGTTCACTTGCCCAGATGATACAGAATGAGGCGCAACCTTTGTACTTAGAGTATCGTGTGAATTTGGATTAGATAGGGTACTTTTTGAATCACAGCTTCTCGTTCGATTCTCTATACATTCATGGGTCATGGCTGCTGATACATCCACAATAGTGTATGGCTTGCATATGGGTTGTTCCATGTTTACTACCCTATAAGGTTTTGCTTGTTCTTCAACGGGGAGTAAACATGCAGCTGATGCTTGACTTGGCATACCTGAAGGACTACAGCATTCTTGCTTATCACTTTGAACAGCAATCTTGCCATCCTTTTCTTCCAACCTAAGGGCAAGCACAGCCTTATGAGTCTCCAAAGTTTTGGTAGCAATTTGAGGGTTTTTAGTTACAACTGTCAATTGCTGATCATCACAAAAGCTTTTATATTCTTCCTCAATTAATTTGATATCTTTAGGAGTGCTAGGAGATAATCCACCATTGCAGAGCTTTTGAGAAGAACTGCTTGCTGTCCCAGAGCGAGACTCTTCAGTCAAAGAAGAGTCAGGAGACATGGAATCAGATGACACTATGCTTTGCATGCTTGCTTGCCCATAAAGAATCACAGTGTCATCTCCATAACCATTCAAAATTTCATCATAGCTATCATCATAGTCCACAGCACAAATCCTCTGGAGAGACTTGTTCCTTAAAGGCACTGTGTTCCATTTTTTGTCAACACAAAATCGGACAGGTGATAGCGTATTAGCCCTAAAGTTAGCAAAGCGTGGCTGTCCCCTCATGCGAATTTCCATTGCCAGCAGCTCTTCATCACTTTCATCCCAGCTCTCATGGTCTTCATGCATACTGCCAAAAAGCAGATCATCCTCACTCTCATCCTCACTGGAGAATTCTGGGTAACAGAAACGACCACCTTCATTACTTATTACATCAGTGCTTCCACTCAGAACAACATGCTTATTTTGCGAATCCTTCATGGCACCCAACATGCAACTTGGAGGGACCTTTCTTTCTAATGACTTTTTATAACAATTGTTTATTCTTCCCAAGAATGCTTCCCTTGAATTAATTTCATTTCCTGTTAGAGAAGACGACGTGTCCAAGCCTGCAATTTCCTTCAACATTTCTGTCAGTCCATTATTGTTGCTTGGAGCTTTACCTACACCATCACTATTCCCATAAGGCCTATGAACATGACCATAACCTTCAATTTCTTCTTCATTATTATTATTGTTATGTGGTGTTTTTTTCAAGACAGTCCTATTTTGGTTCCAGCCTGCAATTGGCTTGTTCTCGCAAAGATCTTGTGGGCTGACCTCGCCACATATACCCTGTCCATCTACTGTCATCATGGTGGGTTTCACAGCTATAGTGGGTTTTTTTGCCACAGGAGGTCGAAAATTTCCTGTATTTTTAGTACGTTGGTTGTTGCTGTGACTTGCATTGATTTTCAGATTTGTAGAGACGGGAGGTTTTTCAGAAGCTGGAGGCAGTTGGTGCAAGTTTTTTGGCTTGAAGCAGTTTTTACATTCACCAGGTTTCCAGACATGTTCAGTGAATGCATTGCAAGCAGACATTTTCCCAGGGCTAAGCACCTGACTCTCAGAAGTTGTTCAATGCATGGTAAGATCATTTATTTGTTATCTTGCTTGTTCATCTTGTCTGTGTAATCAAATCCTAGTCATCCTAAAAAAGAAGAAAAAATGGTCATAAATGATCAATGAGAAGTTAGTTCCTACTCAAGAGGTTATGTCTCCCAACCTGTAGAAGAAGGAACTTCAGAAGTTCTATTTACCCTTCCATCTTTCACCCAAACTTACTTCAGAGGGTTATTGTGAGATGAAACAGGTATACAGAGAACCCAGAGAAAGCAGTGTATCTGAAGAAGTGTGCATGCACACGAAAGCTCATACCAAGAACTAACTTAGTTGGTCTTTAAGGTGCTACTGGAAGGAATATTTTTTTGTTTTGACTATGGCAGACCAACACAGCTACCTATCTGTACCCAGAGAAAGGGCAGGATAAAAAAATGTGTTTTAATATAGGAACAAACCATCACTTTATCAGCCTTCCCTAACCTGACATGACCATGGAATACATAATCCCAGCAAGAAGTACGATTTGATAAACTCACTAGTTAGTTAGTTAGTTAGTTAGCCTATAGTGCAGATGGTACTTTAAAGTAGTCACTACTTTAAAGTAGTTACTGTACCACTTTAAACAGTTATGGCTTCCCACAAAGAATCCTGGGAGCTGTAGTTTGTTAAGGCTTCTGAGAGTTGTTAGGAAACATCTACTCCCCTCTAGGAGCTATAATTTTCAGAGTTGCTTAAGTCAGTCTCTCCTTCCTAGAACTCTGAGATTTGTAGCTAAGCGACATTGTGTGTTGTGTTGTGTGCTTGCTTCAAATGCAACCACATGGAGGCTGTTCCATGTGTCAACTATCTGTATGAGGGACACCCATGTAGTACCAGTGATTTTCAACCAAATCATTGTCTCCTCTCATTTTGCTTCTGATCACATGATTAAAAATGCTGAAACTACATAAGAAGCTGTTTGTACAAATATATATTGGATGGAGCAGCCTACAAGCAAGTTGTCTTTTAAGCAGCTGCTCACAAAGCAAGCTGCCTTAGAGAATAGTCAATCTGAAAATTAACTGCAATTTGTTTTTGTAATGACTAACCTCAAAGGAAAAAACCAAACATCAACTTATTTACGTCTAGAATTGTGTGGAAAAACAGAAATCTGTTTGATTGATTTGAATGAATATCATTTGAGCAGAGAAACTTTATTTAGTGAAAAAACTATTCTGATTTTGATTTAGTGGCTGTCTCCTTGTGTGTGGATGTTATGGAATGCACACAAATTTACTGTAAATTGACAACTACATTACTAAATTGGATTTCACAAAATACAATACTGTTCAGAATATAATGGCAGTTGGCCTTTATCACACTGTGGCATGCAGCAAGTACAGGTAATGAAATCAGGTACTTATCTGTCACTCTGCATAAATACGAGATTGCTTTATAGTAAGTGACACTGTTAATTTTTATACTTAACCACTCCTACCAAACACCAGATGGAGCTGCAGTATAACACAAGATGAATGTGGTGGTTCCCTCACTGCAAGAAGTGAAGCTACAGAGAACCAGGCAGAGGGCCTTCCTGGCAGTGGCACCCTCCCTGTGGAACGCCCTCCCATCAGATGTCAGGGAGATAAAGAACTACACAACTTTTAGAAGATATCTGAAGGCAGCCCTGTATCAGAAAGCCCTTTAATGTGTAATGTTTTATTATGTTTTCACATGTGTTGGAAGCCACCCAGAGAGGCTGGGGCAACCCAGCCAGATGGGCAGAGTAATAATAATAATAATAATAATATTAAACAATAGTAATAGTAGTAGTAATAATAATAATAATAATAATAATAATAATAATAATAATATCACATGCAAGCCTTGGTTCACTATTTCATAAACAATCTTATAAGACAGTAGAACATGCATACTACTTTTATCTGTTGCATACAAGATAATATTGCACACAATTACTGTATAAAACAATATGAATATAAGGTAGGCAAGTATGTTCTATATATTCTTGCTTCAAAAGTTTAAATTTAAGAAATTGCTTCCCAAAATATTGAAGATAATTAGGAAGATAGTTGAGAGAAATATTACTTTGGCTATCACCTGCTTTCAAGTAGCCATTGAAAAGCTTTTATCTGTTTAAAGCAGTGTCAGGAGACTAAAATGTCTTAGAGAATACACTAGCATAACCACCAAAGAATTTGAGTTCACAAGGTTTTTAAAGGACTGGTTGGCTTATATGTATGTGTTCTTTGCCTTGATAAAGCAGCCTTTGCTTCAACATCTTTAGAACCACTGTTTTCTACTAATCAGACTGTGGCAAAATGATGCCTTCCATTGGACTACAAATTTTAAGACAGGTGCAAAAACTTAAGTCTTTTATGATCACCACGTTAAAATAGACAAAATATGTGTATTATGAGCAATGGGGTGTGGAGAGAGCATAGGATTATTTTATTATTAGGCTTTCTGTCAGTATGCCTTTTGCCATGTTTTTACTATGTTTTTATCATTGATGTTCTGTAATGTGTTTTTAATGTTGTACACTGCCCTGGGATCTTTTGATAAAGGGTGGTATATAAATTGAATAAATCATAATAAATATTAATTAGTTTATTTTTGGGTTGCTGTTTTGTTAATGTTACAATTGTTTTATAGATTATAGATGCTGCATTGATTTGTTAATCATAAGACTTTTGCTTTAATTGTGATGTTTAACTTATTTTATAGTTGTTGCTTTGTTAACAGTGTTTTTATACATTGTAATTGTTTCACCCATAATTTGTTAATTACTCTATATGATTTATGTTGTATTGGTGATGTTCTATTATGTTCTGTCATGTTACTGTTATTTATTATTTGTAAATTGCTTTGGGATTCATTTGAATGAAAAGCGGCTTAGAAATATAATAAATTGGATCAAACTGCTTTCTCATGTCTAGGTGCCAAACAGTACTAAATGAATTGAGACAGACAGGAGAGAGGACTTAAAATCAGAGTCAGTTTGTGGGATGAATACTTTTCATGAACACCCTTTGTTATTCATTAGGTGCCCTAATTTCAATGGTGCTGAGAGAATATTTCAAAGTGCTTTAGTTTTATAGCATTAAAAAAGCCTATTGGTCTTATAGACAACGGAAGACACTAATGAATTAAATAACCTGAAGGCTGGCAGAGACAGCAAAAGAAATCCCTTGACAGTCCCCTTTGATGACAAACTTCCCTGTTGCTCAAAAGGGTAAAACCAGTTATAAGCAGGCAAGCAAGCAAGTACACAGCAAAATAAAAAATAACCTATTTGCAAACAATATCAACATGAATGTGGTCAAATTGTAATAATGCACCGCACAAAGTATAAGGATAGGTGTGTAGAGAACAAAAATTTAAAATTCTTTCATTGGGTTATTGGACCTTTCAGTGCATTAATTTGTGAAAGCTTTTTGTGTAGATTTTATTAACTCTAATGTAGGAAAATGTAGTCTTCCGAGACAAGAGTGACCTATGGTTTTGAATACCAAAAAAAAAAAAAGTAAGATTGAGGAAAAAGTGAATACTGATATTTTAACTTCTTCCTGTGATACTAAAGACATCAAGGCAAAAGCTAGGGGGGAAATAGCTACATTATATCCAGGACACACACACACACACACACACACACACACACAGAGAGAGAGAGAGAGAGAGAGAGAGAGAGAGAGAGAGAGACAGACAGAGGAAGCCTGAAATCTCCACTTGCTTACAAGCAATTTCTTATGTTCACTTCTCTTGGTATTAACAATTTGTCTAATGAAAGAGATACATGCAGCCTCTTTTTTCTTCTATGTATTTCAGGCACTACTGTGTTTCTTTGTTCTGGCAGGTCCTCTTCAGATGTGTGCTGTCTGAATCACAATGAAGACCTCCTACACTAATACTTTATACCAACATAATCCAGTTAAAAGGAACTTAATTGGTGTGCACTATTCCCTGCAATTTCAGCATTCTAAAAATGAATAGTCTCCATAAGTACCAGATGGTGACATGCACTAATTAATCAGGCCAGCTCAATGAATGAGCCTATTAAAATGAATGTACCTATTAGGCATGTGTTTTCAATGCTCTCTGCTGCAAAAGCCTCCCTTTAAATGAATGCCTGATTCATTTAGTGAGCAATATAGACAAGTGTGTGCTACAGTCATCTGAGTGTGCAATGGCGCCAGCCTATCAACTGCCTTTATATCATTAGATGCTTCGTGTCAAAGCATGGTTTATGTTGTTTTTCTTCTACTGGGAATGTTGAACACTTATCGTTTCACCTGTTTGGGAGGAGTTTGCCCACTATCAGCATACTCCAGAATGTGCTGCAGGCACCACAGCTCAACCCTGACAGCTCTTCCTAGAGCTAAGCTAATCATTATTTCACAGCAATAGGAGGCAATTGTGAGAGTTTTGCCTTTCATCAGCACTTCTAAGAAAAAGAGAAACCAAACTATGTTTCACCATACTGCATTCAGGCCATTACAAAATAATCAATTAAGATTTGCCCATAGAAAAAGCAAATATTGTAAGAATGTATAAATCACAAAAGGGTGCATAAATGTAAACGTCCTTGACAAATCTTCTCAATGCCTAATTTATACTACATGCATTTCATTCTATGATCCACTTGCCTTCTATCAACAAACACTTTGGGTGTTACCTACAGAAGCTTTGTGGAAATTGTTTTCCATGCTTGCAGATGTTGTTGAAACCAAAGGGTACTTGTGTTTCCAAAAATGACCACATTCAGGAGCTCTCCAGATTGACTGAGAACAATGTGCCTTGATATGCTCAGGTGTTTTAATAAAGAATAAATGATTGCATGGGCCACAAATCACTCCAGAAAATCACTGACATGAATATAAATATAGAGTATGTGATGGTGAAGGGAATATAACTCATGTTGATCCCTCTGAAGTAAGCTACTACATTTATTCCTATGCAGTGTTCCAAGTGGGGAAAATGTCTAAATGCATCTCATAGGAGCCTTCTCTTTATAAAATTCATTGAATAATTTCTACATTCCTATGGCTAGAGCAGGCAGTACTTTGGGTGATATCCAACTTAACTGGT